TATCTTGCCTACCGTTCCCTCTAGCCTTTACCATGCTTCCTGCGTCCTGTCCCACCAGCCAGTCCCCCTCCTCAACTTGGCACTTCTCCTGCTTGTCATCCCCTATCATACCACTCCTCCATTCTGTCATTGATCCCTATGCCCATCCTGATCACCCCCCTCCTCCGTATACCTTTTTTCCAATTCCTCCTCGCCCTCCTCGGCATGTATCGCTACCCCTGCTCCGCCTCCCTCCCCTCACCTCCTCTCTTTCTCTCCTGCTCGTCCTGCGCCCTCTACTCGTGCTCCCGCCTGTTTTTCATCCAGACTTCCTCCTCCTGGTCAGACCAGACCTCCCTTGCTTCATTCCTCAACCTTCTTCTCGCTCTCTCTCAGATACCCTCCTCGTCCCTCCTGCAGTCCGGATCGGCCCAAGATGGGCCCTAAAATGGCCCCTCGCCGGCCCAACGGGTGGCCCAAGAGGGGAGCTTGAGGACGACCCCCGTGAGGCCACAGGGAGGCACACATACAGGTGCTCCTGGAGTTCTCTGTGCAATTTTCGCTTGCTCGGCTTCACGGTCCCCGGGGCGCCCGACACTGCCGAAGAGGCCCCCAGGATCGTTCCAGGATAGCCCCATAGGCGCCCGAGGGGGCCCCGAGACGAGCCCAGGTCGACCCAAGAGGAGCCCAAGACGGCCAAAAAAGGCTGCAAGAGGGCACGCCGGAGGGGCTCCAGTCGGCCCATTGGGCCCCACGACAGCTCGACTGGCCCCCCAGACCGCCGCATAACAGCCCTAAGAGGCCCCCAATGTCGTCATGAGGAAGAACGGTCCCACAGGGCCCCAAGACGGCCCAAGAAACCCCCTAAGACGGCTTGAAAACGGCCTCAAGAGACCCCGAAGAGGTCCTACTCGGGACTCTGCATGAGTACAGCGACGGTCAGAGAATCAAAATATTGATGGATCGATAGATCCATCGACCCCCGATTGTCGGGGGTGAAAATCCGTGTGAGACATTTGGCTGTCCCCCTCCCCCCTCCCCCCTCCCCCAGGACCTAAAATCTAGTTTAAGGGGGGGGGGTCTTCGAGCTCGTCAAAGCGCCCCCGAGGCCTCAGGAGCCTCGAAATCTACACTTCGTGGCCTCCAAGTTGCCCAAGATGGCACCTGCTCTCGTTCACGCTGCGTTCGGAAAAGATGCCGAGGCGTGCCCAAGAAGCCTCCGAGACGCCCCAAGAGGGCTCCAAGAGGACCCCAAGAAGCACAAATCGTCAACTCCCCCTGGGAAAACGTATACGTTCAGCAGATTCGCTTCTTGTCAACAGCGCGCCAGACGGCTCAAGAAGCCTCCAAAACTGCTCAAAGACGGCCCAAGAGACCCCTGACGAAGCCCCAAAACGGCCCCATAGGGCCACTTGCAGGCCCAAGAGGGCCGCAACCGGGCCGCAAGGAAGGCCAAAGAGGGACAACTTCAGCCGACGTTTCCAGCCCACCGCCCCAAGAGCTCCCGAGACCACCAGCAGAAGCCCACGAACCCCCCAGAAGGACCCAGGAGGCCCTCTCCAGAAGCCCAAACGAGGCTCCCAGAGGCCCCCAGACGGTCCCCCAGAGGCCCCCAACGGTCTCCAAAAGGCCCCCCAAAGGCCTCGCCCGTGGACCTCTTTCCTCTCCTGCGGGTCCCGCGCCAGCTCTCTCTCAACGCGCCCCGGGGGGCCTCCGACGCCTCGAACTCACACTCGAAGACGCCGAGGAGAGCCCAAAGGAGCCTCCGAGGCGACCCCCAGGAGGGATCCACGAGAGATCCCAAAAGGGCTTCAAACAGCAGAAGCCGAGAATTCCACTTCAGAACACGTACCACAACAGTGAACTTCTGACCTTGGTTCGGTGTCGGCGGAATTGCATAAACCTCTTTGATGAATAGATCATCGGCCGATAGGACGGTAGATCAATATATCGATGCATCAATGCATGATAGGTAGATGCATACACGTACGTATATATAAGAAATACGTACATTCATACATGCATGCATGCATGTATACATACATAGATGTATATTGGTAGATGCATCTGTAAAGCAACAAGCAAATACATATAGTGTGAGAGGTAGGGAGAGAGAGAGAGAGAGAGAGATCAACACGGGCATGAACCTATAAACTGCGCACGCATAATGTGCACGCGCACACCGTGCGCGCATAATGTGCAGGTGCGCTCGAATATTTTTCCACGAGCTCGAATATATTCATTTAAATGAGCGTGATGCTGTCCGCTCTGCTGTGGCCTGAAGCGGCTGGGACGATTCACGGTCACGAACTTTTGCTCAGCGTTTGCGGCGGCGGCCCCGGCGGCACGGTATGCCATGCAAGCGGATTGCGTGTCGCTTCGCTCCGCGGGGCGGGACACTGGGAACTGCTCGGGACGTTGACGCCTGGCGACTGGGACGTGGCTAGCGTGCCGCGCCGAAGCTTTGTCTGCCAGACCTGGAGGTGCGACATGCTAAGCCACAGATCCTGCGCAACCCCGCTCAGCCTATCATGGTTGTCAGCGTGGTTGCCATCGTGGTTTTCAGTGTCGTCGTCGCATGGGTCGTCAGCGTGGTTGCCATCGTGGTTGTCATGGTCGTCGTCGCATGGGTCGGGTAGCACCAGTACAATGTGGCAACGATCAGGTACGCCGCGATCAGCATGAACCCCTCGAGCCAGTTGCTCTCGCCGTCGTTCAGTATCGAGAACGCCAGCAGCACGGAGGCGCACATGATGATCGTGTCGAGGCCGCCGAAGTCCAGGTCCATACCGCGGGGCCCACTCGGAGTGTCGATCGGGGGGACCTGCAGGGCCCAGCCCATGAGCACCGCGAAAGGCACCACGAACAGGGCCATCTGCGTCGCGGAGCCCACGGCGATGCCGATGGTGACATCCATCTTGTCCTTTATGGCGAACTTGACGGCGCCGAAATGCTCGCAAGCGTTGCCGACGATGGGCAACAGAATCATGCCTATGAAGCGCTCCGGGATCCCCCATGCTGTCACGATGCCCTCGATCGAGTCAACCAGCAGCTCTGAGCAAAAGGCGACGAGTACGGTCGTGAAGGCAAGCAGGACCAGGGCCAACCAGGGTCTGATCGAAGGTCCCTTGCCGTCATCCTCCTCAGAGCCCTCCTCGTTGTTGAATGTCTCGGTGTGCGTGACAAACTGGAAGAACAGGAAGGCCATGTAGCAACAGAGCACAATGAGCGAGACCACCCGGGACACCTCCAGCGACAGCGCCCCATCGCTGGCTGCGTTCTCCTTCACCACTGCAGGGATGTTCAAGAAGCACGCCGGGAGCGCGAGAGACGTGGCCGCGAGCAGTAGCAGTGATATATTGGCAGAGGCGCCCTCCTTTGAAAATGTCTGCGTCTTCCTTTTGATGCCGCCTGCGAATATGGAGCAGCCCAGAACGAGCAGCAAGTTTGAAAGGATACTTCCAAGCAGGGTAGCCTTCACCACTATGTACTGTTTCGTCATCAACGTCTGAATAGTTAGGATCATCTCCACAGCGTTGCCGAACGTAGCGTTCAACAGCCCGCCCAGCGTGTCATTCTGCAATCCTTCAGCCAGCTCCTCTGTTGCGTTCCCAAGTATCTGTGCGAGTGGGATAAGGGCTATAAAGTTCAGTGTGAACGTCCAAGTGTGACCCCATCCGTAGAGGCTAGATGCAACCCCGAACGGAAGCGCCACCAATAGTACAGAGATCGGCTCGATGCAGACCCCTAAGATGCCTCTCAGAATTCCAACACTCTCAGCCTGAGGCCGCTCACTCTTTGGAAGCAACGAATTCGTCAACGACTGGGCTGTCGGGTTCTTGCTGCTTGGTGGCTGCTGCCGGCTCTCTGGAAGCTGCTGGCTCTGGGTACGGCGGAGGGCACGACGGACCCTGTTCTTGACATTCTCGTGAGCGCTGACCCTCCTAGCGTTGAACAGGGCCAGCCCTGGAAGAAAATTCGCCATGGTTGTGGCCGGCGGGGTCGCCATGGACCGCCGAGATGAGGGCTCCCAGCCCTGGCGGCTATTCACCGCCCAGCCTGAGGCCTTGAACCCATGCGGCACTCCTGGCGCACACTGGTCGACAGTGCAAAAACCAGCCCAGGTGGGTCGACTCTGGGAACGCTCGGCGCTCATCATCATCATCATCATCATCATCATCATCATCATCATCATCATCATCATCATCATCATCATCATCATCATCATCATCATCATCATCATCATCAGGCCTATCCTCGTCCACAGCGGCTCGTGGTTCCTCGGCGCCACCATCACACGCTCGTGGGGATGGATGCCGCGACAGCCGACAAGGACGACATCTGCGAGGCCAAGCCTTCCCCGCGGGGATGGGGACAGGCCTGACGATGCTGACGCATGATGGCTTGGACGTGTCACGGGGGTACCTTCCAAAAGTCCCTGCCAGCCTGCGGCTACACGCAGGAGTGCCCCCAGGCAAGAGTGACCTTTGGTGCGCGGCTTCGCGGTGGACGCGGGGTGGCCAAACCTGGGCGCGCAAACCGCTGCTGCAATTTCGCGTTCAAGGCTCGGGGGACCCATTGGCCCCGCACCAAAGATCACTCCGGCGAAAGGTCACTCTTACGGTCCATCCTAACCCCGATCAGTCAGGCTCTACAGGATCCTGCAGGATCCTGCAGGATCCTGCACGCAAGCCCGTGTCAGTGCACCCCTGGCCCTGCAGGATCCTGCAAAATCTGACGCTCTCACTGACACACCTGAAACAAAAACTTCACATACATAAACTTTTGGCGCTCTGCGCGAAGCGTCAAAACCTTCTGCTCATGGCGTCTGCTCGTCTCCGATCCGTGCACCCCTGGCCCTGCAGGATCCTGCAAACTCTGACGCTCTGAACCCCTTTAGGGGGCCGCATGCGAACCCTACCCCTACCCCCCACGATTTCTGAGGGGGGAGGGGGTTCACTTCGCTCGGAAATCGTGGGGGGTAGGGGTAGGGTTCGCATGTGGCCCCCTACTCTTGGCACTGACCCCCGTCCCTCGAGCCCCGAAAAGCTCTCTGCTCTCGGCACGGCGCCGGCCGAGTCGCTGCCCCCTCGGCGGGCCACGCCGGAGCTCTCTTCCCGAGCGGAGGAGGAGGAGGAGGAGGAGGAGGAGGAGGAGGAGGAGGAGGAGGAGGAGGAGGAGCAGGAAGAGGGGGAGGAGGAGGACGGGGAGGGGGAGGAAGGCAAGCTAGGTGCGCTCGCGTCATATCTGGCATCCTACCCCTCCCTCCCATCCCTTGCCATGGCGCAGATCCCCTCTCTACTCGCACAGTCGGATGTCGAGCAGGGCAATGATCCCGAAAGGTTACGCGGTGCATTGTAGAGCACGGCATGGCATGGCGTAGAAGAGCACCGCAAAGCGTAGTATCAACCTAGCATTGCATTGCATGCCGTGGCGTGGCACGGGAAATGACGCCAGCGCTGCAGCGGGAGCACGAGTCGAAACGAGCGGAAGCGCGGAAATGAGGCCAACGCTGCAGCGGGAGCACGAGTCGAAACGAGCGGAAGCGCGGAAATGAGGCCAACGCTGCAGCGGGAGCACGAGTCGAAACGAGCGGAAGCACGGAAAATGAGGCCGGCGCCCCAGCGAGAGCAGCATTTTGGAAAAAATGCAGGCGAAAACCCAACTCCGGGGAAACCTGTGTAAAAAAAGTACGCGGGGGGGGGGGGTCGGACACTCCCAGGCCGTCATAAGGGGAAGAGGGAGAGTAGTATTCAGATTGAGTAATTGTGGAGGAGGAAGAGGAGGAGGAGGGCTGTCTCCTCGCCGCGCAGATCGGTGGACATCTCGCGAGAGAGAAGGTCCTCAGCGGAGCGCTCTCGGGGCCTCTGCGGAGCGCTCTCGGGGGGGAAAAAGTTCTTCTCCCGGAAAAGGGATACTTCTCTGGGAAAAAGTTACTTCTCCGGATGAAATGATGCAAATGCCGGGTCGATTACTTCTCCGGGTGAGACCCTCACAGGTTTTCCCGTTTGCCCCAAACACCACAAACCAAACACCAAACACCAACCCCCAAACACCAAACACAAACCCCCAACCCCCAAACACCAACCCCCAAACACCAAACACCAACCCCCAAACACCAAACACCAATTCCCAACCCCCAAACACCAACCCCCAAACACCAACCCCCAACCCCCAACCCCCAACCCCCAAACACCAAACACAAAGCACTAAACACCAGACACCAGACACCAGGCACCACACCTCAGACACCAGACACTAGACACCAGACTAGTATTACTACCACTACTGCTGCTACTACTACTACTACTACTACTGCTGCTGCTACTACTACTACTACTACGACTACTACTACTAACTACTACTACTACTACTACTACGACTACTACTACTACGACTACTACTACTACTACTACTACTACTACGACTACGATTACGACTAGTACTAGTACTAGTACTAGTACGAGTACTAGTTACTAGTACTAGTACTAGTACTAGTACTACTTACTACTACTACTACTACTACTACTGCTACTGCTACTACTACTACTACTACTGCTACTACTACTACTACTACGCTACTACCACTACTACTAACTACTACTACTACTACTACTACTGCTGCTGCTGCTACTACTACTACTACTACTACTTACTACTACCACTACTACTACTACTACTACTACTACTACTACTACTACTACTACTACTACTACTACTACTACTACTACTACTACTACTACTACTACTACTACTACTACTACTACTACTACTACTACTACTACTGCTACTACTACTACTACTCTACTACTACTACTACTACTACTACTACTACTACTACTACTACTACTACTACTACTACTACTACTACTACTACTACTACTACTACTACTACTACTACTACTACTACTACTACTACTACTACTACTACTACTACTACTACTACTACTACTACTACTACTACTACTACTACTACTACTACTACTACTACTACTACTACTACTACTACTACTACTACTACTACTACTACTACTACTACTAATAATATAAGGACTACGACGACGACTTCTCTTACTCCTACAAATAAAAAATGAAACAATGATTATTCCCAACCCTCCTTGGTTGGGTACTCGTTTTGAATCGAGCAGTGTGGTCTCGACGTCCTCCTTCCTTCCTTCCTTCCTCCCTCTTGCTTCCTCCTGTCTTACCCGCGGGGGGCTGCGGTCTGTGAAACTGCCGTTACTTTTGAGGCCTGCTGGGGGGCCCACCACAGTGACGCCACGGGCGGATTCAAATTAGACCTCGCCATTCGTGGGGGGGGCGCGATATGTGAAACTGTCGCCACTTTCGAGGCATGCTGGGGGGGCCAGCACAGTGACGCCACGGGCGGATTCAAATTAGACCTCGCCATCCCTGGGGGGCTGCGATCTGTGAAACTGCCGCCACGTTCGAGGCCTGCTGGGGGGCCCAGCACATTGACGCCACGGGCGGACCCAAAGTAGACCTCGCCATCCCTGGGGGCTGCGATCTGTGAAACTGCCGCCACGTTCGAGGCCTGCTGGGGGGCCCAGCACAGTGACGCCACGGGCGGATAGACCTCGCCATCCCTGGGGGGGGGCTGCGGTCTGTGAAACTGCCGTTACTTTTGAGGCCTGCTGGGGGGCCCACCACAGTGACGCCACGGGCGGATTCAAATTAGACCTCGCCATTCGTGGGGGGGCTGCGATCTGTGAAACTATCGCCACTTTCGATGCCTGCTGGGTGGCGCAGCACAGTGCCGCCACGGGCGGGCCCAAAGTAGACCTCGCCATCCCTGGGGGGGCCGCGATCTGTGAAACCGTTGCCATTTTCGAGGCCAGCTGGGGGGCCCAGCGCAGTGACGCCACGCACGGACCCAAATTAGACCTCGCCATCCCTGGGGGCTGCGATCTGTGAAACTGTCGCCACGTTCGAGGCCTGCTGGGGGGCCCAGCACGGTGACGCCACGGGCGGACCCAAATTACACATTGCCCTCCCTGGGGGGCTGCGATCTGTGAAACGGTCGCCACGTTCGAGGCCTGCGGGGGGGCCCAGCACAGTGACGCCACGCGCGGACCCAAAGTGGACCTCGCCATCCCTGGGGGGCTGCGATCTGTGACGCTGTCGCCACGTTCGAGGCCTGCTGGGGGGCCCACCACAGTGACGCCACGGACGGATTTAAGTTAGACCTCGCCATCCATGGGGGGCTGCGATCTGTGAAACTGCCGCCACGTTCGAGGCCTGCTGGGGGGGCCCGCACAGTGACGCCACGGGCGGATTCAAATTAGACCTCGCCATCCCTGGGGGGGCTGCGATTTGTGAAGCTGTCGCCACTTTCGAGGCCTGCTGGGGGGGCCCAGCACAGTGACGCCACGGGCGGATTCAAACTAGACCTCGCCATCCCTGGGAGGCTGCGATCTGCGAGCCTGTCGCCACGTTCGAGGCGTGCTGGGGGGCCCAGTACAATGACGCCAATGGCGGGCCCAACGTAGACCTCGCCATCCCTGGGGGCTGCGATCTGTGAAACTGCCGCCACGTTCGAGGCCTGGGGGCCCAGCGCAGTGACGCCACGGGCGGATTCAAATTAGACCTCGCCATCCCTGGGGTGGCTGCGATCTGTGAAGCTGTCGCCACTTTCGAGGCCTGCTGGTGGGGCCCAGCACAGTGACGCCACGCGCGGACCCAAATTAGACCTCGCCATCCCTGGGGGGCTGCGATCAGCGAAACTGTCGCCGCTTTCGGGGCCTGCTGGGGGGCCCAGCGCAGTGACGCCACGGGCGGACCCAAAGTGGACCTCGCCATCCCTGGGGGGCTGCGATCTGTGAAACTGTCGCCACGTTCGAGGCCTGCAGGGGGGCCCACCACAGTGACGCCACGCGCAGACCCACCTTGGACCTCGCCATCCCTGGGGGCCTGCGATCTGCGAAACTGTCGCCACGTTCGAGGCCTGCTGGGGGGCCCAGCGCAGCGACGCCACGCGCGGACCCAAAT